AAAATTTAATGTCTGAATACTGGTAACATTAGAATGTTTAAGCCACATGTAATGATTCATATTAAAATCACTGAAGACAAAAATGTTCACAGATAGATGAAGAGAGAGTGCCATTTCTATGCTATCAGAAATTATGTCTAGTATACTGCAGTCCTGAGAAGAAGGGTAACAATAAAGGAAGAAGAGTTAGCTAACAGAGTGTAATAATGAAAGTTGAAAGCACTGTCTGGGGAAACAAGTGACAATTCTCTTGCCAATGGCAATAAAAATTACCCAGAATGTGGCTGAGACCAGAGCATAATGTGGCCAGTGTTGCCCACTAGAAACACATGCAGGGATACCTACCCATGCATGACATGGTGCTACAAATACCCCAATATTATGTGGCTGTCGATCAGAGCAGCCTCTTTAAGTGCTACCAAAGAGTTCAGGCTTCTTAATACCAGTTGGATGTAGCAGCCAGTAAACTACCAACCCACTACCCTCATAATGATTAGTCTGATCACCAAAAGGTTAAGACAGTTAAATAATTATGGCCATAGAAGAAGAAAAAAACTAGTAAACCATATCCTAAATAGGGAACAAGGGACAATCTTCTACTCCTGTCCAATGAACATAGGAGTGCAGGCCAGATGATAGGTGAGCCTCTCTATTCCTGTTGCAGCACAGGAGGCTAGGTGATTTTGTTAAGATGCCAACTCTAGGAAGGTTGCTGTTTAAGGCTGTAGGCCTCATCCAGGCCAAGGAGGATTACTGAATGATTAATATTACTCTGGGAGAGTTGAGAGTAAGGATAGGAGCTGGGGTGGCATAACCTTTAATACCACTACTATTGAGATAGCAGTGGATTCAAGTAGTTTCAGATAAAACATACCAATTGGTTTAAGAGCAAGCTACTAATTTGTCAAGGATTTTTAACATTTATGTTTATTTTTAAATATATTTTTATATATATATAGACCTCCCTGCCCCGGTGAGGAGGTTGTCGCCATTTTCCACATCATCATTATAATATATTATTATATAATAAGGCTATGTCTATTTTTGCAAGGTTGGAAATTAGCAACATTGTTTTAAGACCACTTGAGTAGAGAAATCATCGAGTGAAAGTACTGAGCAAGTAAGGAGTATACACAGTAATTATTAAAGAATGATTATATATGGACGTTTCACCGAGTGGTTAGAGCGTTCACTTTCTGACCATGAGACCTGGGTTCGAATTTCACCATGGTGGATTTGTGAGGAAGAAGACTTCTTGACATTATTGGTCTGAATGGGGATGATCCCAGTGTGTGGCACCTTTGGAAAATGTCTGAAAACTATAACACGGGTTGACCCAAGCCTTGTGAGTGAAAATTGGATAGATGGAACACTTGGGACCATTGATAGCTGTGTTAGTACAAAGTCACAAGTCATCGTGACTGAGGGCTTGAGTATGCTAGTGTTGTTTAGTTTGTTGATCATTCTAGATAACATGCTCTCTCCTAGAAACTGTAACTAAAGTCTGCTCAGCATAGTTGCAGTATAAACCACAGTTTGGCTCTGTGAGTGTTGAACAAATACAAATGTGCCTGAGCGAGAGTCTGCAATAGGGATTGGCTAGATGAGTATCCTCAAATACGAGTGTCCATCCATTATATATATATATATATATATATATATATATATATATATATATAATTACAACATAGGTATGCAGAAGCATCCAACACTAATATAAACCAGTAATAATATAAGTAATAATTCATTTTGCTGTGGTCAAATATTTCTTAATAATAACAATATTAATAATAGTAATAAATTAAGATAATAAGTATAATATACTACTTGAGAGAGGTGGGGAAAAGGGCTCTGAGGAGTTTGTCCAGCATTCATGGCCATATAAGAGGACTAATATTACATAACAGTCCAGTATTCTTTTTCTTTGTTTATAACAAAATTTTCCTGTTTCTTATTTATATTCCTATAAATATTTAAATGGCAATTTTTATAAAGAGTTCTCTCCCTTAGTACCTCAACAGCATAAATTTAAGCATACTGCTAGATTGGTAAGTAGGACTCACTGTTTTTACTGTTGAACGAGCTAGATGCAACCATATGTTCTATTGTAATAGATTTTTTTCCTCACACTTTTCGCCTATGGAACTCTCTTCTGTTTTCTTCATCCTGGGTATGATGATAAACTACATCTGTGTCCTGGGTAAGACAATAAACAACAACCAACAGCAAGGCCTCTGATCAGGATGTTTTGAGGAGCGTGGAACCACCTCTTAATTGCTGGTGTTCCCATGTCCACCCTGACCTGGGGTGGTAGCACCTGTAAGGGTCCCAGCTGTGGGCTAATAGGTGACCACTCCCCCTAACTGGGGTTGAAACACTATGAAAGTGTAAAAATAGGCATTAATATCAAAAATACTTTGTAAACATATTATTATTAAAAATTTATTACCAGCAATACACTTATGAAAAAAATATTACCAGAAAGAGAAATTTTTGAAGTAAAAAATATTACTAGCAACACATTTTTGGAAAAAAAAAGTACCAGCAATAAAAATTGTCGGCATTAAAAAACCCATTGAGGTTGATATGCTGTAAAACAACCCAAACCAAATCAAGTCTTCTGGTTTCTTGTTTCCCAGCCATTTACAATCTTCAAATATTTAAATAGAATGCCTATTGTCATCTTATGTTTTCCTTAATTCTATTCTTTTACTATCCTTTCTCCTTACTAAAATCTTCATATTTTTTTTTGCTTTCAGTATCTCTGTCTGTCTTAGTGGCATTTGTATAGATGTCAAAAATTTCCATCAAGTGAGAAATTAAATCACATGTTTAAAGGCCTCATATTGAAAAACACTTTCATTCCAACCAATGTTGTCTAAATATTTTTTACTTTTCATTAACTATTTTAGAACTGAAATATAATGCATATAAAGCTAAGTGTTAATTATGCATTTTTATATATATATATATATATATATATATATATATCAATATATTTATTTATTTATTATGTAGTGTTACATTTATTTATTTATTATGTAGTGTTACATTAGAACATACACATACCCACTACAAAACTGTACATTAGATTTTTTTTAACGTTGAAACAAGATGTACAGTTTTGTAGCGGATATGTGTATGTTCTAATGTAATACTGCATAATAAATAAATATTTACTGCTTTACTTTTCTATTGAGCTCTGTTTTAAATTAATATTTTGAAGGCTGAAATCTTACTCTTCATTCTTTTACATTTGGATATATATATATTATAAATTTACTTATTTAAAAATATGGCTCCATCACTACACAGGAATTACTATGTTTCAAAAACAGAAGCTAAAAACTTCATATTCAGTTATAGAATTAAATCAAAGTCCCTAGTTCTATTTCATTTTCAACTGAATTTTGAAATAACTTATTTTGAAATTTACTAAGTTTTATAAGCACATACATTCATAATATTAGTTTCTATGGATATGGGGAAAACCAATCATTTTAACAAGGGGTGGTAGGGTATTCTTTTTCACTGACAACTATTGTATCAACATATTAGTTACTTTCGAAAAGAGGTTAAATCAAGGTAGGCTCGGGGTGTCTTTTTCAAATGAATGATGACATCCGTTCAACGCATGTTGTCTGTTTTTTTTTCAACAACAAAGTTTTTTGGCACTTTTGTTTTGTTGTTAAATTTGTACTTGTATACATAAAGATTTTTTTAAAAGGGTTGTTCTTTCTCTTTATTATATATATATATATATATATATATATTAAGACTTCTTTTTATGTTTATACATTCTTTTTTTTTTTATAGATACAGATATTTAAGTAAATGCTCTGTTTATAATAAATATATGACAGTTCCATATAGGATACAGGTTCAATTCCTGTCGGAGGATGCATATTTTCTATGAAAATTTCTCAGACATTCAGTCCAGTGAATGTCATTAATACTGTTTATTATAAACAGAGCATTTACTTAAATATTTGTATCTATAAAAAAACAAAACAAAAAAACAACGTATAAACATAAAAAAATGTCTTAAAATAATTGTTGGACTTTGTCCATTTCATTATATATATATATATATATATATATATATAATACAACAATACATATATTTTCATTGTCCTCTTATTACTAAGAGAAAAAACAAGAACAATATCTATTCCATACCTGAAGATGTCTGTAGGAACAGACGAAAGCTCGTAGTAAAAATAAGAACTAATGCGGCAGAAATTTATGGAAACGATGATCTTTTCATTCATAACGGATTCGGAGGTTTTTGTATATTATTTGAATTGTTTGCGACGATGGATTTCTCGCCAATTAAATCATTAACCTTTGCATTTGTTTTTGTGTGAATAATTCATGAATTTGTAAATTGATTGCACGTTTATCGAAATTAAAATAACTGATCCAAGTATGACTTTTGGATAATAAGTGCGACATTACTGTAATTATTGAACAATATAGTTCATGCCACTTTGGCAGAAAATTTACCAGTAAAAAATTTGTTCATCACCATATTTGTACATGAATGCACAACTGTAAAAAATTTAAAATCAAACTCAGCGTTGCTATTGCATGCTCCAAAAACAATAACTCATTTCCAATAGCATTTTCGGATACAACAATACATATATTTTCATTGTCCTCTTATTACTAAGAGAAAAAACAAGAACAACATCTATTCCATACCTGAAGATGTCTGTAGGAACAGACGAAAGCTTGTAGTAAAAATAAGAACTAATGCGGCAGAAATTTATGGAAACAAGGATCTTTTCATTCATAACGGATTCGGAGGTTTTTTTATATTATTTGAATTGTTTGCGACGATGAATTTCTCGCCAATTAAATCATTAACCTTTGCATTTGTTTTTGTGTGAATAATTCATGAATATATATATAATATATAACTATAAGTAAAAATGTTATTACTGCATGAAAATCATTCTTGTTATATATTTTGTTATGCTATTGTTAAAATCTTATAGGAAGAGGACCAGTTTGAATTTGAAAGTTTGCTAGACATGGATGAAGTGGACGACTCTACAGAAATGTTTCGTACAAAACTTGTAATGGCATCTACAGTAAGTTGTTTTTCTTATTGTCCTTTTTATTAAAATTCTTCTTGTCTTCAAATTCTTATCTTTTCTTCAAAGAATAATAACAAAAACTGTATTTAAATAATAAAAAAAAACTATTAACCATTGTATTTTGGATGATAATGCTTTTTAAGATGAGCAGTCTTTGTAATTAAAATGCTCAATATTAAGAAATAGCATTTACAATCTTCAGACTTATCTTTCTGACTCAGAGTTTTGCAGAACTGCTGTCTGCTCATCAGGGGGTCAGATACTAAACTGAATTTATTTACAGAAATCATATAACAGAATGTGGAAATAATTATACTGAAGTTGAAGAAGAGGTAATAATTTTACCCATCAATTCTATAAGTTACCACTGAAAACAAGTTATTCAACTTTGATCTAATTGATTAAATAAGAAACAAGTAGAAAAAAAACTTTATAAATTTATCATGTTTTGATATTTAATTAGCTTCTTCAGAAATTCCAGCAATGGAATAATGGGGAGTTGTTTTGATTTTTTTTAAATTTTGTTTTGTTTTCATTGGTTGCATATATGTCATGTATTTATTTTATAGCACATATAATCAATTTTGTTGGGGGTGTCACATGTTTACCTCCTGGCATCTATGTGTTTAATGCTTGAAATGTTATGGTAATTTAAGTGTGTATAATTGAGTATATTATATTTTAATTGTATGATAAATATGAGAAGTAAATGCATAATATTAGGATACTTCTCACATTCATCATACCTGTCATATGATTAAAAGACACTAATATACCCAGCTTAAATAAGCACTTAAATTAACATTTCAATACCCATACACATTGAGTCCATTGGGTATACACATAATTCCCACACAACCAATGAAAACAAAACACAATTTAAAAATTAAATTCACACTAACAGCATAAAATAAGCACATGACATCTGCACAACAAGCATACAGCCATATCACATGGAAACACCAATTATCATATGATTACTGAATTTAAGCAATGTTGAACTTGGTCAGGTGAGTGACTGCTTGGGAATACCAGGTGTTTTAAGCTTGGATGTATAGGTGTTATTATGGATAACATCTTGGAATTGGAGAACTGAGCTACAATTCCAATCAAGCTTGTTGTGCTCCCTTGTTTGCAAATACCCTTGGGAAAGGTATGAATCCATCTCATCTCCCCCAGTTGTGGGTTAATCAGTATGATTGTATCATTAAAAATCCTTGTTCTTTCCAAAAAATTTTAGAATTTAAAAAATATTTTCTGGCTTTAAAAAATCTGCAAGCTGTAAAAAAAAAAAAAAAAAAAAAAATTCAAATCTACACAAGCAATGAAAATAAAACATAGAATTTAAAATTAGATGCACACTAACCACAAAATATGTACATTACAACTATATGAGCAATGAAAATATAAAAATTAAAAATTAGATGCACACTATCATCACAAAATATGCACATTACAACTACACAAGTAATGAGAGAAAAACATAGAATTTAAAAATTAGATGCACAATGTTGTATCTTTAAAGAAGGTTACAAACAAAAGTGGTATTCGAGTAAAAGGAACAGCAACACTGACATAAAAGAAAGAAAGAAAGAGAGGTTTATTGTAAAAGAGAATACACTACCGAAAGACAAGGAATCGGTTAGAAAACTAGTAATTCCCAAAGCAAGGATATTTGCTAACCGCCCAATGCTGTCAGATGTGACACAAGGCTGAATTTAATGTTGGGTATCTGAGCCTGTAGGCTTGGTCAAAAATTCCCTGTAGACCCCATAAAAAATGGGGTCAGGTAGCTGTCTACCACCCCAGACAAGACTCTGCCCTTCAGCATTGCCTCATCTGGGTTCCTCTCTGCCTGAAGACAGAGAGTTCGACTAGCTCAGCTGAAGACAAATCTCCAACTAATTGCCGAAGCAAGTCTCAGGTATATCCTGTGCACACACTATATATATATATATATATATATATATATATATATATAATATATAAAGTGCACAGGTATGCAGAAAATAGAAAAGAACATGTTGGGTGCATAATCCAGAGTTCCTTAGTATTTTTGTTTTTATTTTTAAGAAGACAGTGCTCCATACACAAGTAGAGCTTATATCATAATATTTTTTGTTTAAAAATATGATTCCTTCGCTACATAAGAGTTCTCATGTTTCAAAAATGACAACCAATACCATCCAAATAATTATTAAAATTAAGTTGAATTAAGGTGTTTAGTCCTGTTTCATCTTCAAGCAAAAATTTAGGAATAAGCTATCTCTTGGTTTACGTGTGTTTTTAAGCATGGTTCGTCATAACATTCGTAGGAGTGCCTAGCCACTAAAAAATGACAACTACAAAGCAATGAAAATAAAACATAGAATTTAAAAATTGAAATGACTCCACATTATTCTACTTAGAAAATTTCTGATGAATAGTGAAACATTAAATTTATAACAGTTTTCTTATTTCTTAATTTCTATGGTAATTGTGTGTATGAAAATCACTTCTTTAAATATTAAAGACAAAAATATGTTGTCTAATTGGATGTCTTTTTTAAAGTACATTTCAGAAAGCAATTCAAATTTTAATTTTGAATAAACAAAATATTCATAGTAATCATAGCAATATCCTGAGATTTAGTTAACCAATTTGAAAATTTAGTTTTCTTGTTCTTTATCATTCTGATTTATTTTCGAACTGAAAATATTTTTTTAAAAGACATTATAAAATAAAAGCCTTTTTTTTTTTCTTTCTTCAGAATCCTGTCTGGAATGAACAGTGTGAATTTGAAGTGGAAGAAGACGTGAAATATTTAAATGTGTGTTTGTGGTGCCGAGAACCAGAGAAAATTGACAAGCATGAAAGAGTTGTGAAGCCTGTAAAAGATGTTCTCATTGGACATGTACGTATTGAGCCAAATGGCTATAAATATCACTTTGTTATATATTTATTTGTTTTATATTTCTTGAGTTTTCTTTTCCACCATTGTTATTATTAGTATTATTAGATTTTGTTTTTTATTTTTTATTTGTTTTAATTTTGTCAAATGAATCTATTCAGGGATTATAATGGTGATGGTAAGTGGGAAATGTCTAAAACTGACATCAAATTATGTGTTTGGTTTGTTATAATAGAAAAAACAATAACATTGGTACAAAAATTGTTAGGAAAAATCTCTTTGGGAGTAGTAGATATTAGTTTATCTTGGTAGTACCTAATTTGATCAAAAATGGATAGAAAATGAATTCAGCAGATATACAAAAATAGGAAGGGGTGTAAAACAAAGATGATTCTTCTCACCAGATTCATTCAACCTATATAGTAAGGCATTTCTGAGAGAATTAGAAGTTCTATCAGGATTCAGTATTGGTTGTCACAATCTTAACATAAGATATGCAGATAATACAGTGTTGATAGCAGACATGGAAAGAAAATTACAAAAACTCCTACGGAAGTTAGTGAAGGAAAGCAAGAAGAAAGGACTAAACATAAACTGCAAGAAGGAAGAATTGTTATTAGCTTATTAGCAAAAGGATGAGCCAAAAATGTATAATTACAAATTGGAGATACCAAAATCAACCAAGCACACAAACTTAAATATCTTGGAAGTGTTCTAATAGAGGATGGAAAGTATGACACTGGAATCTGAAGATGCATTGAGATAGTGAATGATGCCTTCCAAAAGCTAAGCAGACTATTAAGAAATAGAAAAACTTTGTTAAAAAAAGTGAAAGATTACTGAACTGTTATGTAATATCTGTCCTACTGTATGGCAGAGAATGCTGAACAATTTTCTCAAAGATGAAGAAGAGACTTGAAACAACAGAAAAGTGGATCTACAAAAGGATGCTGAGAATACCATTGATTGAATATGTGAGTAAAAATGAGGTTTTAGAAGAAATGGAAACAAAAAGGAAACTTATACTTAACATCAAGCAGAAACAGTTGAAATTTCTACAGAAGGATGCTGAGGATACCATTGATTGAATATGTGAGTAAAAATGAGGTTTTAGAAGAAATGGAAACAAAAAGGAAACTTATATTTAACATCAAGCAGAAGCCGTTGATATTTCTACAGAAGGATGCTGAGAATACCATTGATTGAATATGTGAGTAAAAATGAGGTTTTAGAAGAAATGGAAACAAAAAGGAAACATACTTAACATCAGGCAGAAACAGTTGAAATTTCCTGGGTACATAGTGAAGGAGGAGGGCTTGGAAAATTTGTTACTCACAGGATAGACTGAGGGACAGAAGAAAATAGCACTTAACATACTTGACAAGCTTGAAAAATGGATGGTAGAACAGGGTTTAGAAATAATGAAAAAAAAAAACAATTTATATAGAGCTGCAAGTGACAGGATGTTGTGAAGAGTCATAATCGCCTACCTTTTGACAAGACACAATAAATAAAGAGAGTGTTAGATTGTAGTGACCTCTTTAGGTTGTAGGTATATGAAGGCTGCATGCTGTCCAGACCACATGGCCTCCCTCTCATCTATACTGACAAGATCCAAAGGAATAGAGGGCATTATATTTGGAGCTGCTTTGACTGTAGGAGTTGCCAGAAAGTTGTCAATATTGACAGCCAACCACATTTGGGGCTCCATTCCAGATTTTCTGTCTGGATTTACTTCCATAGACTTTTCCATGTTTAGATATGGCAGCAAAACAGTGGTGATTTAAAATCAAGGTTTTCCTTTGTCCAGATGGACTACTTTCCCACTCTAGCTGAAGCAGCTGCTTATGAGGCCCCAGTGGTCCATCTTTGCCATCTTTTCTGACATGGATTTGACAGAGGCTATGTCTTCTATCCATTACACTACCCACATATCCAAAATAATATTGAAATTGTCATGTTACCTCATCTAGAAAATTTCAGACAGGAATTAGGTTAGTACGCATTGCGATATTTTTGGTGAATTTCAGTCGAATCCATTGCATTTACTTACATGCTAATACCCTTGGGAAAGGTGTGAATCCTCTTCTTCTCTCTCCAGCTATGGGTAAATAGCAGGACAGATCAGGTTCTATAGCCTTGGATGGCAACTGGTCTAGAAGGACAATTGTGAATTCAAACCTGGAGTGGAGCCCCTAAGGTGGATGGACAGCACTTTGTGCTACCTTCCGGCAACTTCTGCAGCAGCGCTGGTACCAAACTGTATTGGTTTATCCTCTCCTTTGGACTCTGCTAGCAAGGCCGAGAGGGGGATCTAGACATCTGGGCAGTCCTAGTTCTCCATATATCCTGTCCAGGCTTGTAGCGCACCATGCTACTCCATCATCTTTCGAGATGGACGGTTGCTGACGATGATTTTTGGTGATGTTAATTCCAAATAACAAGATGAGTGAATATTGCGTTAACAGTAAAAAATCCTACTCTAATTAAAAAAGAAGCAATTTACTAAGACAAAAATGTGTAGAAAATGCTTTAATCATTAGGTCACCGAACGAATGAAAAAAAATCTAAAAATATTCCATGTCTAAATCAAGTCTTTGTCACATGATATTTTAAACTGGATGCTAAATTCCTCAATCTTTAAAAAGGAGTGGATAATCCTTTCTCTTTTGCCTTCCTCTCAAGGGATTTAAATCTGTCATTAACTGCCTTCCTAAAAAAAAAAAAAAATATAGCAGATTCTTCATAAATTCCTTTAAATGAAAACTGTACCATTAATCTTCTTTGGGAATGCTCAACCAAAATTTCATATTTTCAGACTAATTCTTCCTAATTAAAATTTAAAGTGTGCCCCTGAGTTTTAGTTATTCTAATGGCAGTTATGTCCTGAAATAAAAAAATGGTTGAGAAACCCTGCTTTAAATAACCATGACTATTTAGGACCAATATTTTTTTAAAGTACAAACTCACCTTTTTAGTAAACTAGCACTGCTAAGAAACTCTCTGCTTTGAGCTCTTTATCCCAGTCTCCCAGTTCACAACTAGTATTCTCCTGGTTAACAGTTAAATGTTAGTCTTCTACTGAGTCTACCAATTTTTACAAGATTCTCCCTGTAAGTAAAATAAAAAAGAAAAGACTAAAAGAAAGTATTTCCTATTTAAACATGTGTTTTGAAAGTGTTCATTGTTTCAAACCATGATTTGATTAAATTATTGCATAGATAACATTTTTTGATAACAAATTTACTGAACTGTGATTTCTTTACGATTGAAATGTTGACTTGAAATCACACTTCTGCTGGAAATATCTGCTGTGAATTGGAAGAATGAGATTTTAGAATTAACATTTTGTTAAAGTTTTTGAAATCCTTGTGTTTCTTTTTGTTTTCCGTATATAAAATTCTGTAACTTTCATTAGTCTGTCTGTCTGACCCTATAAAATAGCCATACATTGACCAATTGAAACCAGATTTTGGGGAAAAATGCAAACATGTAAGGGGATACAAAGGACAGTTGATTTTAGGGTGCATAAAAACCATGAAGTAGGATTTTTATCAAAGTATTTTTTCCAAACAAATCAGCTTATTCAAATTTCATTAATTGGTTAATATATAGTTTGTAAATCTTCACAAAAAATGTTAGTGATGACTTCAGTAATACTAAATACTGTGAGAATTTCAATATGTATCAATGTCTTGCAAAAAAATTCTAGTTGATAAAATCTCCCACTTTCTAAATTTCCTGGTTTCAAGATTCTTAGGTTGATAGGTCTGTTTTAAGAGGTTGGGATAAAGTTTCGGAAATTTTATTTTCTGAAAGAAAATAAAACCTTCTGCAGCAGCATTTTCACTACTGCCCGAATTAATAACAAAAAAGAAAGAAAAAAAATGAAAATCAGATTCAATTACAAAGAAAAAATATTTATTTCTAACCAGCTAAATAAGGGTTCTTGCAAAAATTCATCCCTTTTTGCTGAGAATAAGATAACCTATTCTCTGAGTAACACAATGAAAAAAAACATAGCAGAAAACAAATTTAAAAATTACAATGCACAAAAAACACAAGAAAAAGAATAGCGCCCACCTGTTGTATCAATAATAACAATAAAAAAGGGGGCGAAGAGCCTTAGCTCTACAGTACACTTTCAGTTCTTTCAAGGATCAAAAGTTTTTATCTTTTTTCTTTTCTTTCTTGTGTAGACAAAGTTTTCTTCCTGGTGACCAAACTCACTTCTTTCTTTGCTTATTTTCCTCCCGTACGCCTGGAAATTATGCTTTTCTTTTACAGCCACTAGAAGGTGGATATTTACTTAAACACATGGTAAAATACTTTTGAAAATGCACGTGTTCGCTCCTTCTTCTCAAATAGCTTTGGCTCCAAACTCCACTTACAGACTTCTTTTCAACTTTCTTTTCTGGGGCTTCTTCTAGAGGACTTCTCAAAACTTTCTCTGAAGAGGAAACTTGCCCTCAGCAACTTTGTTACCTATGCATGCTTCACTTATGGGCAAATGCTGCCTGCCTTTTCAGCAGAGAGAGAGAAAACAAACCTCTTCTTTCTAAGCTGTCACTTTTCTAACTGCTGCTAAGGTTCGGTCCCAGTTCTCACTTGCCTTTCAAAGGGGGGGGTGTCACCTTTTAACTGTCCAATCACAGTCCATTAAAAAAAAATATCAGCAGGTTCTTGGGGCCAGTAACACAGTGAGTGTCTTTTGTTCTCCCTTGACCTGAAAATTTTCCAAAAATATGAGGAATGATTCTTCCATCCAAAATTTGATAAATAATTTGTGTACCAGAAATTCATCAAAAAATAACAAATAATTATGAACAAGGTTTATAATAAATACATTTTATATAACAAAAGAAATTACAAGAGAAATAAAAATTCCTTTTGTGTGTATAATGTAGAAAGTTTGTATTTATTTCTTGTAGAGTTTATAAGTGACTTACTGCCTAAACTGAAAGTTCTTTTAGTAATCAACATGTGTTAGATTTATAGTGGTGTGGGGCTTAGGCATTAAAATAAACGGTTGATTTACACATGCCAAGAAGGTTAATAAAGGACAATAATGGTGAGGAAACAGGTAATTTTAACAAAACAGGTTAAAGAATTTATTCAGGAATTTACACACTTGAAGTAATATCAGTAGCTTGTTTCCTTTTCAGTGTTATATACAGGGTGGTCCAAAAAGTCTTGTCTCTTACTTTTCTTCCAAACTGTCAGAGCTCATACTAGCCATCTGAAATAGAAAATTATATTATGTAGGGGTGACAAGACTTTTGGACCACCCTATATTTGTTTATTTTAATGTCACTGACAAGAAATCTCATTTATATGAAATAATGAATTTTGATGAAAAATATTATTTCTCTGTATGGAGAGTAAAATAATGTAATTTATAAGTTTAGTTTGTTTTTCCTTAAGACTTTGAGCCTTGCATACCTGAAGAATTTTAACCCTTCTGCCTGAGATCTTGAGCCAAAATTCACAAATAAATGGTATGTAATGTTTTACGGTGGATATAATAATAGTTACAAGTGTTTAGTTAATATTCAAATGGTAACTGGGTATTAATTCACTTTTGGGCATTATGTCATTTTTTTCTACCACCAGTAAAGCAGTGGTCAGGGCTTAAAGGTTTAAAGCAGTAATTTTTCCAATTAATTTTTTAAAAATTTGTTTATTGGTACTTTTATAGGTCATACTGACCTATTTATGTAAAAAAAAAAAAATTGAATCTGACATGTAACAAAGGTGACCTAAAAATGATAAGTAAAAAATGTAAATAAAGGTAAAATTTTAAAATATCTTATGTTTTGGGTAGAAAAAAAGTAATAAGAAATAGTCATGATTTCAGTCCACTGGTAGGGAAAAATTAATAGAGCAAATATTTTCATTTAAAATAGGTAACATTTTTAATATTAAATTAAAATATGTTTAATTTATAGTAATGAAATGAAAATATTTTAATAAACAGCTTTAAAGTATTACTTTAATTATGATAAATTAAATATAGCGCATGAACAAATATTTACCTTATTAAAATATTAAGGCAATGTTTAAGCTTTGTGACTCCAAAAAAGAGTTAATTTTAATAAAATCCAAACATATGAAAGTGGATTTATACCTTTTCTTTATTCTTGAGAATCTACAACAAAGATATTAAATTCTTTATTTTTTGAGATTGCTTATTTGTATCTACAAAATTATAAAAATGCGTGAACCAACTATAATGAAATATTTATTTACCATTTTATAAAGAAAAAAAATGAAATTTTTTTATTCATAAATTTATAAAAACGTCTGAACAAGAAAACGTAAAGAAACATGAGAAGCTGTAATTATAAATTTGAAAAAACTCATTTTTCAGGCATTTTTTTTTAATTTGCTCTCATCGCATAAATTCACTAAAATTGGTTGAGAGAATCTCTTCCTGTGAACCAAACATTCTTTTAATTTACATTTTCCATATGTTTATTTGAATTTTCTTTTCCTATAGTTATTTATACAAAGGTATGTAGTAAGCATTATTGGTTTACATATTTTGATAATTTTGTATAAATACAGTGTAACCCGGATATAAGAGACTCGGATATAAGAGAAACCTGGATATAAGACAGATTTTCTCTGGTCCCAAATTAGAGCCTGTATTAATGTATATAAAATAAATCAAACCCGGATATAAGAGAAACCCAGATATAAGAGACTTCTTCTCCGGTCCTGACAACTCTCTTATATCTGGGTTGCACTGTATATGAATAAAGATTTCTTCCCAAATTTATATCGTTATAAAATGGTAAATAATAAATTAGCAAACTTGGACCATCATGCCTGCAAAAAAGAAAGTGTGTTAAACAGATGGTTTTTCCCTTGACACCACTATTATTTTAACTACCTTAATGATTTTTGGTTCCTTTATTACTAGCATCATGGGAAAATGTATTTTTTTTTCATATTATTCATTATTATTTTATATAATTTTTTCACATATTCACTGTAGAAGATTGTTTTAAGTTTTATTTTAAGATAACATTCTGATATGAATTGAAATGATTATATCAAGTCATTTGCTAAGTCTGCTGCTAAAATTTGTTGTGCTAGACAATTTTTCTTATCTGAATATTTATAAGTCTTTATTCAGGTCTTATGTATTGAATATTGTTTCCACATCTGGTTTGGTCCTTCTGTTATGTTGCTTTCTTTTTTTGGGGGGGAATTATTTCGCCCCCAAGCAAGGTGACAGTGCCACTAGGGTGTTACAGGTAGTGAAAGTGAATGAGAAGATTAAAAATGAAGATGATTGAGGAAAGGGCAAAAAAGGAACAGGTTTCAAAAAGACAGAAGATGGTGATTGAAGATTGTAATTATCAGTGAAGCAAGAAATTGAAAGTGAGTTCCACAGATGGGAAGTGCAGGAAAAAAAACTTGTTAGAGTAGAAATTATGTCTAGCTAGTTCAGTGAGACTTAGTTGCTAATCTAGACACATTCTTGACACAATCCAAAGAAGAATCTGCAATGTTATCAATCTTGACCTGGTGTCTCAGCTTTGATCACTTTTTCACTGCTATAATATAGCTTTTCTGTGACCTTTCTATAAATATTTTTATGGAATTTGTTCTGATGAACATTCCTCTTTGGTACCTTGACTTTATGAATTTCAGTGTAGTATTAGATGTGTGTTGTGGCGTAATGGATATCATCTTGGAGAGCCAAGCTTAAATTTCTCTTGAGTTTTTTAGATTAACTTGCACACAAATACCCTTGGGAAAGGTATGAATCCATCTTTTCTCTTTCAGCTATGATTTGAATAACTGGGCAGACTGGGTTCTTTAGCCTAGGTTTGCCGCCAGTCTACTACAGAAAGAAATGGCAACCTACTGCAGGAAAAAATTTGCCTTGTCATTCATGTATTGAAAGATACATGATTGCCCAAGCATGTATCACATATGGCATTTACTGACTGACTAGATTGGTAGCTAGGTATCATTATTTTACAGTTGAAATTGGTAGAATTTACTATTCTAATAGTTTCTTCTCACACACTTCTTGCCAGTATAACTTGCTTCTTACTTTCCTGTTAACCATCATCTTCAATAATTTAAATACAGCATCTATCAATGTCTGTCTCTTTAAATCCTATTCTTTCTGTTCAGTAACTGAAAAGAAAAACATAATTAAAAAAAAGAAATTATTTATTTGAAAATGCTTAAAATGAATCTTGATTGGTTTTATTTTTGATTGCATTACTAAGTTTTCATTAACATGGCTTTTTATTTATTTTTTAAATATCTTATTACAGGTTAGTTTCCTTTTAAGTGAAATTGCCTTGGATTGTATGACAACTATGCAGGGTGATACACAAAAAACAAAACCGCTTATACCTTCAGAACCCAAGCCTGGTGCAAGGTATGTATATTTGTAACAGATTTTCTTTTGATATATATATAATATATATATATATATATATGTATTAATACTCTAAACATTATCTTTATTTTTTATAGACATCCAATTAAGGTAAAAAAATTATAGGAAAAAACATTTTTATTTTAGTGATGAGCGAATCCTTCGATATTTGGTGAAGCAAAATGTTCATTTATAAAGTGGATATTTGTAACAGCTTGGAGAAATGTCCATTCGATACAGTAGTGGGAAGTCAGACCATGCTAGGGGTAGCAGTGGTATTAGAACTAAATCAATCTACGGTGTTTTACTCTGCCATAAGCTGGTCAGAAATATCATTAACAGATGACCTCTTAACTACTTCGTGTTACGCATGGCTGATTTCGCTGCAGTAGTTTCTTTTGTCATCATTCATGCTGTCCCTTTTGCTTCTAGCTCAGAAGCGTCAGCTTATATCCTTTTGACCAGGCTCTGAGACTCTGACATAAACATTGGTTTTGGCTAACATCAAAAGTCTCTGTGTTCATTGTTTTGATTGGCAAAAATGATTTTAATTTCTAATAATCCTTTCTTTTGTCATTTTTTTTTTTTTTGTAACAAAAGTTATGCATGGAGCCTGTCTAAGTTTTCAGTCATAAATTAGTAGGTTCTGTTCCTGCAAACTTCTGGTGTTTTCAGTTGGGATCAGTCTTTTTTTCTTCTTTTTATTCTTGTTAGTTAAGAAGAAAGTTTAGAGAGAGAAGGAAGTATATAGAGATAGGTTTAGAGAGAGAAGGAAGTATATAGAGATAGGTTTAGAGAGAGAAGGAAGTATATAGAGATAGGTTTAGAGAGAGAAGGAAGTATATAGAGATAGGTTTAGAGAGAGAAGGAAGTATATAGAGATAGGTTTAGAGAGAGAAGGAAGTATATAGAGATAGGTTTAGAGAGAGAAGGAAGTATATAGAGATAGGTTTAGAGAGAGAAGGAAGTATATAGATAGGTTTAGAGAGAGAAGGAAGTATATAGAGATAGGTTTAGAGAGAGAAGGAAGGTATATAGAGATAGGTTTAGAGAGAGAAGGAAGTATATAGAGATAGGTTTAGAGAGAAGGAAGTATATAGAGATAGGTTTAGAGAGAGTATATAGGATAGGTTTATATAGAGATAGGTTTAGAGAGAAGGCTGAAGTATATAGAGATAGGTTTAGAGAGAGAAGGGAAGTATATAGAGATAGGTTTAGAGAGAGAAGGAAGTATAGAGATAGGTTTAGAGAGAGAAGGAAGTATAGAGATAGGTTTAGAGAGAGAAGGAAGTTATAGAGATAGGTTTAGAGAGAGAAGTATATAGAGATAGGTTTAGAGAGAGAAGGAAGTATATAGAGATAGGTTTAGAGAGAGAAGGAAGTATATAGAGATAGGTTTAGAGAGAGAAGGATAGAGATGGGTTTAGAGAGAGATAGGTTTAGAGAGAAGGAAGTATATAGAGATAGGTTTAGAGAGAGAAGGAAGTATATAGAGATAGGTTTAGAGAGAGAAGGAAGTATATAGAGATAGGTTTAGAGAGAGAAGGAAGTATATAGAGATAGGTTTAGAGAGAGAAGGAAGTATATAGAGATAGGTTTAGAGAGAGAAGGAAGTATATAGAGATAGGTTTAGAGAGAGAAGGAAGTATATAGAGATAGGTTTAGAGAGAGAAGGAAGTATATAGAGATAGGTTTAGAGAGAGAAGGAAGTATATAGAGATAGGTTTAGAGAGAGAAGGAAGTATATAGAGATAGGTTTAGAGAGAGAAGGAAGTATATAGAGATAGGTTTAGAGAGAGAAGGAAGTATATAGAGATAGGTTTAGAGAGAGAAGGGTATATAGAGATAGGTTTAGAGAGAAGGAAGTATATAGAGATAGGTTTAGAGAGAGAAGGAAGTATATAGAGATAGGTTTAGAGAGAGAAAGGAAGTATATAGAGATAGGTTTAGAGAGAGGTTTTAGAAGTATATAGAGATAGGTTTAGAGAGAGAAGGAAGTATATAGAGATAGGTTTAGAGAGAGAAGGAAGTATATAGAGATAGGTTTAGAGAGAGAAGGAAATAAGGGTTTTAACGGGAAATGCCTTATTTCAATTTGAATTCTTTTTATTTTTGTTTATATATTTCATTTTTATTGGGACTCACTAAATTAGCATTGTTTCTGTGTTTTTCCTTGACATTTTTTAAACTCTATCCTGACCTTAATCTCCCTAATCCTAACTCTTGTAACCTTAACTAGGTAACCAGATAAAATCCCAGTGTCTTATCCCAAAAATGGACAAAATCCCAGTTTCATAAGTCTCATATATAAAAAGAAACAAATTTAACATTGAAAATTTAAGGAACTTTTAATTCAAATTTTAATGTCAAATTGAAACATTAATAATAATATCTAATATATACACATATGAACAGGGTAATTCAAAAGTCTTGACACCCCTTCATAATATAATTTTTTATTTTAAATAGCTGACACGGGCTTCTACAATTTGGAAGAGAGAAGATGACAAGATTTTCGGACCACATTGTACAAATACCAAATTCATACACTCCAATGTCAAATTGAGACAATAGTAATAATATACAATATATACATGTACAGGGTGGTACGAAAGTCTTGTCACCCCTTCATAATAAAGTAGCTGACACAAGCTTCTACTCTTTGGAGTATTAGGGTTACAAAACTTTTGGACCACCCTGTACAATATCCAGTATATACGTTCTTATATCAAATTGAAACAATAAGGACAATATCCAACATATACACTGTACAAGAAAGTTTATTTAAGTCCTTAATTCAGCATAATGTTAATTTGTATATGAACTCCATGGTTTGTTTGTTTTTAACCCCCCAAAAAACACATCTAAAGGCTTTATTTACATAGTCAGGTCATATGGGGTACTAGAATTTTCTTAGTGCTGTTGTGGATCAACAATACTTGGATTTAGTGAAAAATATTTACATCTTTCGCCATGGAAATCAGTAATCCGTGTGGTTGTTGTGACTTTTTGAATCCAAAATGGTGACTTTTTTCCTTTGATTTTATTACTGGTCATGACCCATATTTTTTTTTTTTTTTTTTAAACTGAATTTTGTCTCTCAGCCTCAAATTCATGAGACAATTAAGAAAACGTATTTATTTTAATCATTTTACCCCAAGCAAACCAGTAAAGTCACTAGAACCCAAGGGGTTTCTGAGTTCAAAAAATATGAGAAAAACTACTATTAAGGAAAGAGGACAATAAAAAGAACAGTAATTAAGAAGACAGAAGATAACAATTGACATTACATTAAATCTTTAAAGATCAAAATGACTGTAATGCCAGAAGCCAGAGGAGAGTTCTATGAGTAAAAAGTGTAAGAGAAGAAACTATTGGTATAGAACTTACGTTACATTTAGCCATTTCATCTGTAAAATAATGAGTCCCAGATGCCAATCTTATACTGTGCTTAAATTAATAGCACCAGACCAGATGTGGCAGCAATATTCAAAGCAAGGACAAATGGTAAACTTATATATATGTAAAATAGATTCTGGTGAGAAAAATTGTCTAGTACTAAATAGTGAATCAACTTTCTTAGTTACAGACTTAGAAATTGATTCAATACACTCTTTACACTTTATGCCAGTTGAAAATGTGTGTAGTGGAACCCACCATCTGATATAGCATGCTTTAGGCTACATACAGCATCAAGCCAGATCAGATGATGGTTTCTCCTATAAAGGAGGATACAGGTTTGAACCCTACCAGAAAGCAAATTTCTTTAAGTCTCTTGAATGTGTAGCCTAGTAGACATATTTTGCACTGTTAAAAAGTAACGAAAAGCAGGACGTCTACACAAATATGTGTATCCACTAGAATAATGTTTAGAGTAATAAGAAATAATATTGAATTAAAAATAAAATTCATTGATTCCTTAGAAATGTCCAAAGTTATGGCTTTATAATACAACTTATGGTGAGATTTTTTTTCTTAAGATTTAAAAATTGATTCTAATTTTTATTAGATTTTCTATTTGATAATATTATCCATTTTTAAAAAATTAATAATTAGTAAAAAGATATAAATCATATACAGAGTGACCAAAAAAAACGGGAACTTTTTAACAATCCAATAAAACCAAGAGTGATGGAAGAAAAATATTTTATTCATAGTAATTGAAACCTTAAAACATGCCATTTAAGAAACAATGATGAAATTTTTTTTTAAATTACGTCCTGTAGATGGCGTCCTTCTGTTGCCACTTGCTCATGTCTGGCAATACGCACTTCAAAAATTCCCGTTTTTTGGGGGTCACCCTATATTTTAATTTTGTGAAGTTAGTCTTGTTTCAAATGAATCTTCTCTTAGCATTTCACCAAAATGATTGTAGAAAAAGTCACAGAATGCCTTAGTAACTTGTCTGTTAAGGGATAATGGAGGAGGGGAGCCATAAGTTTGGTATATTTTATTTATGACATTGGTTACTACAGTTTTCTCATAATCACCAATATTATACTCATTTCCTTCTGGTGTCAGTTTAAACTGACATCTTTTTCCTTATATTATGGGCTTATGGCCATAACATTTTGAAACACCAGTTCTTGTACAATTATTGAAGTTAAGCAATGTCAAGCCTGGTCATTACCTAGATAGGTGACCACTTGGAAATACCAGGTGCTGTAAACTTGGATGTGCAGTTGGTGCAATAGATAATGGCTTAGAATTGTAAATTATAGAGCCAAGTTCTAATTTTAGTCTTATTCATTATATTTTTTTTATGCACAAATACTATTTGGAAAGGTATGAATCTACTTCTTCTCCCCTAGCTATGGGTTAATTAGTAGGGTAGTAATGGGTTAATTTGTATCAGTAAATCATTATCTCTAAAAAATTCTTACAATCTAAAAATATTTTCTGACTTTAAATAACTTGTAAATGGTTGGTAAGCTGTAAAAACAAATCAGTTGATAAAATCCCTAATATTGTGATCATTTTACTTAAAGATCATATTTTCTTTTTTTTTTTTTTTTTTTTTAGATGGAAACTTGGGGATGTTTCATATTTCAATGGAATTTTCAATTTTCAAAATTATATTTCATAATTGTATATTATAATTATATGGAAAAAAGATGATGTTAGTATAAACTGATGCCAGGATGATAATGGTTAAACCGAGGCCTTTTTTTCAATATATTATGACCATTTTGCTTAAAATTCATATTTTCTTGAATTCACATGAGAATGTGAAGATTTTTGAACATATTTCAGTGAAACTTTCACTTTCTAACATTATAATTATAACTTAGATATATAGAGAAAAGAATGAAGACCTTCTTTCAATATCTTTTGACCATTTTGATTAAAGTTTGTATTTTCTTGATTTCAGAAAAATACTTAGAAATTTACCAAACTATTTCATTAAAAATTTCTCTTCAGAATTAGTTTGTAATTTCAAACATATAAAAAAAAAGTGTCATTTTAAACTGATGCCATGAGAATATATTACTTATTTTATTACAATAAATTAAATGAGTTTATATTTGTTCTTTATCTTATCAATAATTTAAATGTAAATTTTTCCTTTGATATTCATTCATGATTAGTTAAAATTTTGATAGTTTTCAGAGATTTCTATTAATGCTTTGTCCACCGCAAGGAAAGTTGGCTCACTGTGCCGCGCCAGGATATTTTTCTCCCCGGAATTGATCCTCCAGATCTACAAATCAACAATTCGCTCTTGCATGGAGTATTGCTGCCATATATAGTCTGGAGCCCCTTCTGTTTGCCTCAGGGTTCTTGATAGGCTCCAGAGGCAGATATGCAATATAATTGGCCCTGATTTGGCATCTCGTCTATAGTCACTTTCTCACAGACGCGCTGTCGCCTCTCTCTGTCTTTTTTACAAATACTTTCATGGCAATTGCTCTGAGAAGCTGCATTCGCTGGTTCCCAGACTTCATGAGTTCAAGTGCCCTACGAGGCTGGCATCCCACTCTCACCCTTTCACTGTCGAAACTCCTAAATGTAGCCGTCTCTTCTACTCCAATAGCTTCATCTCGCACCTCTCGCCTGTGGAACTCCCTTCCCTATTCCAGTTTCCCTGAGAGCTATAATCTCCAACTATTCAAATGTAATGTCAATCGACATCTCCAGTTGCCTTGATCTATCCACTATCCTTCTCCTCGTCCTTTCTTCTATCACTCCTATCTGATCTTGCTCCAAGTTTTCTGTAACCCCTTGCGTCCTAGTGGCTTCTCGCCTTGCTTGGGGTGAAACGCTTAAAAAAAAAATAAAAATGCCTGTAATGTCTTGATACAGTTTTGACGCTGTTTGTATATTATGTTTTAGATTGACAAATTTTAGCTATATTTTTTTCTTCATTAATTAAAATGTATTCTTCCTTTGAATTTTATTTTTTACTTAAAATGTGTTTCATGTTTCATATAACAACAATTATCTTTTTTTTTTCTTTTTTTTGTAGTCGTAACAGATATTCCACATTATCAGCTCATCCTGGTTTTGAACCCATGTTATGCCATGGGGACATAACTTTATCTTTCATGTACCAAGCAACTGAAAAAACTTCTGAACAATACCGTAAGAGATTAAGTAAAAACATTCTTCAACCCAATGTCGATGAACCTCTTGGAAAAGAATCAACAGATAAGCAAGAAGTAAAATCTACTCCAAACACAACAAGGTAGACTAATATTTATTATAATTTTACTGATAGTTTTTCTTAATTTTTGTTAATTTGAACAGTTTTTATTTATGTTCATAAAATAATCTAAAATGTATTTAAATTAATTTTTTTTAAGACCCTATAACAAGAGACAAATTTTTAAACTCTATTACAGGAAAGTTATATATATATATATATATATATTTTAAACTCTATCACAGGAAAGTATATATGTAATGTATAACTATTGTAGAGGTTGTGTTATTGGATTAAATTATATTGATCAAAAATTGTTGAGTAAATATATGCAAAATGTATAACTATTGTGGAGGTTGTGTTACTGGATTAAATTATATTGATCAAAAATTGTTGAGTAAATTAGGCTCCATGATGAAATTAACAATTTCCTCTCACATTAAATTTTAGTATTCAACAAACATAGAGTAAGAGAATCAATAGTTTTTGCACAACAATGAATAAAATATATAACAAAAAGATACAAACAACTGGAGTAAAAAGGTAGTTTTAAAAAGTTCAAGTGTCCTTTTATGTTTAGATGAAAAGTTATCAAAGTTCTGGTTTGATAGATTATAATTTGTTGAATGGTCGGTACAATAATGAGAAAGTGTATTTTGGTATTATAGTAATTTAAGAAAAAAATAAACAGTTCAAGTTTGTATTTGAAATAGGGAAATATTGTTTACGACTTACTTTAATGTTTACAGAATTGTCGCTCTTTTATTTGTTTTGAAGAAAATATTCTAGTTGGGGTAAGTGGTTCTTAACAAGCCGTGTTTATGTTAATTGCAATAATTAATGTTGATATTGAAAGCATATGAAGAAGATTTGTGTATTAAGTTGAATGTGGAAAACTTTTGTTTAATGTTCATAAAATATTGCTGTGTGAATGAGTGTTCTCTCAGACTGGAATCATGTTAAGGGACTTTAACGTAAAGCCTGGAACTGTGTGACAAGTTCAAATGATTCCGATCGGTGCATTGTCGAAGATGAAAGATGTTTCATATTTTATTGCTAACTTTGGTCACGTGATAAGCTCACAGGAGCTTGATAGATTTTGGTGGAATTATCTTTTTGGTCAAGAACTAGGTTGATGTTATTAAATATTAAGGGACCAATTAGAAGTTGAGATTTTCTGAAAATATTTACTAAGCTGAATAAGCTCTCTGATCCACTTTTTGTACGGAAATTGATATTGATAAAAAAGGTGGTAGTGGGATGCTAAACTATCATATAAAACAGTCATAATTTCTTCTTTTGTATAGGAAAAACTCAGAAAATAGGTTATATTTTTTAATACAATTATATCTTATATTTTATATCTTATTTTATATCTGATATCTTCTTAAAATACATTTATAAAATGCAACAGTAGAGGTCATCAGTGATGTTATCCTGGTTTCATTACCGATTTTGGGTATTGCAACATCAGATCCATTCTGCCAGGTACCCCATCATATCTTAATATAAGTCATATTCAATTTATTGTAATGAAATAATAGTAATGAAGTAATCCCTATCTATAAAAGGCAGGATGTGTGTGTGTGTGTGTGTGTGTAACGGATGCATAGCCACAATTTTCGACGGATTTGCACCAAAATTTGCATGCACATGCTCCAAGTTAGTGGGAAGGCCAAGACCAACTTTGCATTTCCCAACTCCCATCGATAGTGGAAATAATCGATTATTTTCATGCTTCCACAGCAGTTTTCATGTAATTTGCGGCTATTTTCTACTGGCCAGAGTGAAAGCCTATAGCTGGCTGCTACGAATAGGCAGGAAGATTCTATTGCCCAGCATGAGAGCCAAAAGCTGACTGACACGAATGTTAACTAGCATGCAAAAAAATCGATAGCTGCATTTGTCACAAGTGGGAAAAATTTAAATCTGCATGGCACTTTACTCCAATTGGCTCATTTGCTTGCTTAAACTCAATATTGATTCTGATTCTGCAGAACTGGGTTGGGTGTGAAAAAGTATTTGTTGTTAACATTCTTTTTTCATTCGGTTTTTCCAGTTATGAGTCCTTTTTTAAAGCTGATCGTTTTGTGTTCATTTTGTTTAGTTCTTTTTTCGTAACAGATTTAATGTTTAGTATAGAGCTTAGAAAAAATTCACAGTGTGAGATAGGCAAGAAGTAAGGCATGTAGCAACATCAGCACGGCAAAGGGCACTCCTTTAAAGGCAAGAAGGGCAAAAATATTTTAAGTCAAGTGATAGCGATTGCTGTATGAGTCGTATGATTTTTTAATCAAGCACGGGCGATGCCGGGCCATGCTGTTAGTATTTTTATAAACTAAATCTTTTATGTTGCATTATGCAATGGAACAGACTACAATATGATTTTATCACAAGCATGTAAATTGTGTTGTCAGTGTGTACCTGTTGAATCCAGGTAAAAAGTCATGGTAAAAAAGTATAGGACAAGATTAGCACAAGGTTAGTGGGGAAAATAGAAAAAAAATGGCACCATCCAGGTTATAAATCTGGCTTGGTTGATCTTCTGTTTCTTCTGCTTTTCTCTTCATGTTGTTGATGTATTTAGTGGATGCAATAGTTGCATAATTAGGAGCATGATTGTGATTTTTTTTAGCTGCTACAGGATCAGTCATATCAAGGATCATGGTACAGGATCTGTCATATCAAGGTCGGTGGTCATGTTACAGGATCAGTCATATCAAGGCCGGTGGTCATGTTACAGGATCTGTCGTATCAAGGCCGGTTCTTATGGTACCTTTACAAAAAGATGTTCTCTTAACACATCTCCATCTGATAGCAGTTGATCTTGCAATCTGTTTTGTATACATGTACCCTTGGAAGCAAATCTTCTGTTTTCCTTTATTACTTGCTATAACTTCCACGATGGGATTGTGATAGAGCCACTGATATCAATGGTGTGCTTGATGGCTCCAGGACAACTGAACCGATTTTTAATCCAGGATTCAGTTCAATGTTTTCTAGTTGTGTGCTTGGTTCAATAATTGAACCAGAATTCCCGCAAAAGTGGTTCAAACCACTGACAATTGAACCAGGAGTCAACAGGTGTCTGATTAGAGAGTTAATGGTTCGATAATTATGTATTTTTTTTGAGAATTTAATTTTGTACCATTTTTTTTTCCTATTTTCCCACTTGTGCCATTTTTATTTGTGCCATTAATACATCAGAATTAGGAGTTTTTTTTCTGCTGAGTGCCGATGACTAAGGGGTAGAAAGAGAGAATGGTAATATATATAATCTGGTGTTCTTATAGATATTTTTATTTCTACAAAATAGTGCTCAATGTAAATTTACAGAGTATTAATATTATAAATTAACTGATTTAAAATATGGTTTTTTCGCTATACAGTTCTAACCATGTTTCAAAAATGGAAGCTAAAAGCTTCAAATTTAATTTTGTAATTAAATTCAAAACATTAGTTCCATTTCATCCTCAAGCGAATTTTGGAGTAACTTATTTTAAATACCTTTAAAACTCAGTAAATTTAAAAATAAGTTACTCCAAAATTCACTTGAAGATGAAATGGAACTAATGTTTTGAATTTAATTACAAAATTAAATTTGAAGCTTTTAGCTTCCATTTTTGAAACATGGTTAGAACTGTGTAGCGAAAAAAAACATTTTAAATCAGTTAATTTATAATATATATATAGGTCACATTGACTTACTTTTATAAATAAGTAAATTATTTTTAATGTTTATATAAAAATTATATATAGGATATGGGTAAAAGTCCATGCGGCAAAACTCATTCAGATGAAACCCCCTAATTTAAAGTGCAAAGTATGACAAAACCAAATTCATTGATAACAGTATTACATTTTAACACCTTAAGTTTATCTGGTCTAATGACACATTTTAACATTTTTTAGGTGTCCACAAGTTAAAGAATAAAAAATGCATGCACATACTCAAACAATTCAAAGTAAACATCAAATATAGTGGGAATACATGCACACACACACACAAAATTTGTTCCCATGAATTTGTAAGGTTTATAAATGTTTTCATCTGTAGCGGACCCCCGAGCGCCCCCGTATCACACAAGGGTGAATGAGGGCACAAGAGGCCTGCTAACATTTTTGAAGACGTTAAATCTGATGGTGAAACAACATGGATGACAGAATGAGGATATATATGATATATGCTAATTTATTCTAGAAAAGAAAATAAGGTGGTCGGAACAGTGGAGGTGCAGAAGTTTTAGTGCAGGCATTGATGGTCGAGGTTGGTGTTGGTCGTTGCCAGGATCATCGCTGTTGGTTGTTGGAGTTGATGTTGGTTGTTGCCAGGATCATCACTGTTGATTGTTGCAGTTGGTGTTGGTTGTTACAGGTGATCGCTGCAGTTGAAGTTGATGTTGGTTGTTGGCAGGATGATCGCTGTTGGTTGTTGCAGTTGATGTTGTTTGTTGGCAGGATGATTGCTGTTGGTTGTTGAAGTTGATGTTGGTCTCGGCCGGGATGCCAACTTGACGTGTTGGGAAGAAAAGAAGAGCTGGCATTGTTCGGGCATGTCACAGGTCCAGTGCAGGTGTTGTGTGTTTGCCGGTCGAGTCCAGTATTAGTAACCTCCCGTAATAATTACTAACATAGTGTACAGGAAAGGTTAAGGACGACGTGCGGGCAGCCAGTAGGACGGCATGCGTATCCGACTGTTTCAGTCGCCGACCGGGATTTATTTTGTAAAAATACAAAATTGTAGCACAAGGCCGAAAAGGGGGGTAAAAGGCTGGTCTTCACTAACTATCTTATACCTAGCTAATTTGATTCACGACCCATTCAGACATTACAATTTACTCATTCACCATAAGAACTCGTCCGTCGCCAATCGATCCTCCATGCACCATAATACCACATCCACTCTAGGGAGACCTACAAAACACGCACCGTGTCATAATAATTTAATGATCCTAACACATATGTACAAAAATTCTAAGATGAAAAAATGAGAGGGTGGGGATGAACCCAATAACGTACTAAAATATTAACATAAATGAAATTAAACGTTAACTGATGTTAGTAGGGCCCGTCCAACCCTCAAAAGGCAGGGAGACCACTGTATTCTGCCCATTGGAACAAAATCAAGCAGCTCTCCCGTGAATTTAGTGAGAAGTCACTGTCTTGTGGTAAGAGAGACCAGCAAGTGAATTGGATAAGCTAACAGTAAAGTGTCTATAATAAAATACGTCGAGGTTAGCTAAAGGGAACTATGGCCTAAAAATGTCTAGCAGTATATTACAACTAGGTTTGTAATATAAGTAAACTAAAAAGGGGACTTGCTAGTTTCTCCCACAGGTTAACAGTGTATAGGGGGCACAAACGAGAGGTCAATGTCGAAATGACCTGTTCTCTTAGTTTAAGGAGCGAAGGAGGAGGTAACTCTGACATGCTTATCTTCCTTATATATTCTTATTCTTACTGTAAATGTTACTGTGATTATAAAATATTTTTCCTTTCTCTTTTTTAATTTTTATTTAGAACCCATAAATTTGTTGTCAATTGTCCGCCCTACCAGTCAGCTTCTTATTGTTGTTCATTTTGTGCCCGCAAGGTAAGTTGAAGCATTTGTTTTATTGTTTAGTTAATCTTTAATAAAGTTTTACTTCTAGTGTTATTGAAGAAAAGCTTTAAAAATCTATATGAATTTGGTAAAACAAATTAGATTCAGATTATAACAGACATGTTATTAAAATATATTCTATTAATTAATCATATTCCTAACAAAATAAAAAAAATGGCAATGTTTAACCTTCATGTAAACAAAAAAAATCCTGTGTTGAAAGGATGGTTATTTCCTTGGCACTGTAACAGATTGAGTGGCCTTGAATCAATCCGTACTATTTTTACTTTACAAATGTGCTAACTAGGAATAAGCAAACAAGAAGAATAACATTCAACAAGAGAAATTGCACAAGTAAATGGAATTTATATATGCATAGCAACAAGTAAATGGAATTTATATATGCATAGCAACAAGTAAATGGAATTTATATATGCATAGCAACAAGTAAATGGAATTTATATATGCATAGCAACAAGTAAATGGAATTTATATATGCATAGCAACAAGTAAATGGAATTTATATATGCATAGCAACAAGTAAATGGAATTTATATATGCATAGCAACAAGTAAATGGAATTTATATATGCATAGCAACAAGTAAATGGAATTTATATATGCATAGCAACAAGTAAATGGAATTTATATATGCATAGCAACAAGTAAATGGAATTTATATATGCATAGCAACAATTGTACAAAACAGTAATTCAGTTGTGTTTGAAATGCTGAAATTTACTTGTACTTTTTTGAATTTTGAGTGAGGAAAATGTTCTTGTTGATGAAGTGTAAAAGGTTTGTGAGTTTGGAGAATTTTAGTGTTCCTTGTAAGAGAATTAAACAGTTTGTTACTCACAATGTTATGTTAAATGTTTATGTCCTTGTGGTTGAAGGAGTGAATGTTCATATATGTTTGTACATGTGTGTGTGTCATGACGATTTATAGCGTTTTCCCCTAAGGAAGAAACGCGATTTCTCCACTGAGCTTACAACACTATTATTTACACTTTTGAATCTCTTAGCAATGTTTGTTTTAAAATGCGATGATTAGAATTTTAATATAACCCAAATATATGTAAATGGATTTATAAATTTTCTTTATTCTTGTGAGTTGACAACAAAGATATGAAACAATATTTAATTATTAGATTAAATAAAAAACTTTTCATGGTTATTTACAAAATGGTAAATAATAAATATTGCTTTGTAGTTGGTTTATATATATTAATAATTTTTTTTATAAATCTTTGAATAAAAAGATGTTTTTTGAATTTATTTCTTTGTAAAATGGTAAATAATAAATCTTTATAAAAGGAAAATAATAAATACAGTGTAACCCGGATATAAGAGACCCGGATATAAGAGAAACCCGGATATAAGAGAGATTTTCTCTGGTCCCAAATTAGAGCCTGTGTTAATGTATATAAAATAGACCAAACCCGGATATAAGAGAGATTTTCTCTGGTCCCAAATTAGAGCCTATGTCAATGTATATAAATTAGACCAAACCCGGATATAAGAGAAACCCGGATATAAGAGACTTCTTCTCCGGTCCCGACAACTCTCTTATATCCAGGTTACACTGTATTGCATTTACTTGATTCACATATTTTGCTAAATCCACACACCATGTGTAAATAGAAGACAACATATGTAATAGACCAAGGCTGGTGTGTACTACATCCTAATGGGAAGGGAGCCTGATTTGGGGCCCTGGGCAGTGCTTTGTGACTCTTGCTATCTTATCAACATTTACTTTTTTCTAACTACATTTATATACATTACAAATTAAACTAAACCGTAATTGACTATTAAAGGCTGAAAATATTTTATGGATTTTGATGTATTCTAGGAATTTTTTTTGTTGAAATCTGTGAAATTATTTTGCTCATGATAAGTCTCAAAACAACACTATATAAAATTTACTATTTTTTATCCATAATGTTGAATATGTTAAAATTATTCAACTCTTTAACAAGAAAAATTTCAAGTTGATGTTAAAAATTGCCATAAAACATTGTTTATTTAAGATAGAATGATCTATTATGACATGTCTCTAATTTCTATTTAGATACATTGTATTTATTTTCAATTTTTCTAGTTAAATTTTTCACCTATATTACATATGATCCATTATTGTACATAAAACATTACAATAAAATTTGTTCCCTTATATATGAATACTACCATATAAAAATGGAGATGAAGGAGAGAAGGCATATCATAGATTTCAGGAGGATGGTCATGTGACCCTTGCAACTGGCCCTAAAGTAATCAGGTTTGAAGTAGTAAGAAAATTTATTTAATTCTGTTTCCTGTTGTACAAAAAATCTCTTAAGAAGAAATTGGACTAAAAGAAATAATTTTTTTCTTAAGGTTTTCTGGAATATAAACATTTTAGATTTGGGCTTTATCTGCTTTTGCCTTTTCTTTTGTTGATGAGTTGAATATTTTTACAAGACCAATTTCCTTCACACTCCTGAACTTTCTACATATTCTTTATATGCCACAAGACTTACTTAATATATTAAGTTGAGAGATTGATTTGTCTTATGGTCTATCACTAAAGATTCTGGTAAAATAATTGGCTCCTTGTACCAGTGCAGTAAGTACCTGACTCCTCATGCTGTCCTCTGTTATAAGAACCAGATCAGGCCAAAAATGGAGTACTGTCTTCATATTTGGGTGGGAGCTGCCCAGTCCTCACTCTCTAGTCTTGATAGAGTTCAAAAGTGTCTCCAAATTCTTGTTGGAGAAGAATTATTTTCAAACTTCTCTCTCACAGACGAGATGTTGCAAGTCTCTCACAGCTCTATCCATGGAAAGTATTTGGATGGACTACATTCCTTGGATCTGCCAAGTCTAACCTTCATGACTAAGACCTGCCATGCCACTTACATAGTAGAAAACCACCCACATTCCCCCACCTCATATTTCATTGGCAAGAACCACTGCCCTGTGGAACAGACTCCCAAGAGGATGTTTTTCTGATCAATACAATTTTAACCTGTTCAAGTCTAGAGTTAACAATTATCTTCCCCTCATATCCATATAAACTACCCATTAACGTAACCCTCTACCTTGAGTGGCCCTTGGTACTTGTACAGGGTGAACTTTACAGTAAAAATAAAAAATTCATATTAGCAGTTTTTAAATAAACTTTAAATGTTGAGTGTTAGAATTCACTTTATGTATAGAAATTGTTAATATAATAAAATTTGACTATGTATGGAGGTTGTTAATATAATATACAAAGAAAATTCTCAGCAGGAAGATTGTTTTGTGCCAATCTTTATGTGGAAGGTCTTGAAAATTATCATTGGAAATCTTAGCTTTTATATGGGTTTAAACATATCTAACTAGCACTAGAAAATATGTATCATTTAAATCCCCATGCCTTGTGATTATGAGTTAACCTAAGATTTCAGTGGCTATACTTGACTATGAGGTAGATATTTGATTTTTAGATATGATTTATTGTGTGTTGATATTAAATCATTATTTATATGTAGTTAAATTTATAAAATTAAATTGGATGTTCTGCTATTGCTGCCACATATACAGTGATCCTGCTGTATATTTAGATTCTTCATAAAATCCAAAGAATCATCAATATTATTGGTCCTGACCTGGCATCTTGGCTTCAGTCACTTTCTCTCTGCTGTAATGCAGCTTCCATGTGCCTTTACTATAACTACTTTCATGGTAACTGTTTTGATGAACTCTTCATTATGGTACCTAGACTTTATGAATTTAAGTGCAGAACAGAAGCATAGTTCTACAGAAGGATGCTGAGGATACCATGGACCAAATAAGTGAGCAACAACAAAATTTTAGAGAAAATTGAAACAAAGGAAACTTATACTTAAGATCTGGAAGAAACTGTTGAAATTTTTAGAGAATGTAATAAGGAAAGAGGGTTTGGAAAATCTGATACTCACAGGAAAGCTTGAAGGCAAGAGGAACAGAGGAAAACAACATATAATATACTTAGTGGACTTGAGTAAATGGATGGCAGAACACAGTTTAGGAGAAATAACAAAATTTATTAAGTGCTACAAAGGACAGGAAATTATAGAGAGCCATGATTGCTTATGTCCTGAGGAGATACAGTACATACAGAAGAAAACTAGATTTTCGGCAGGGTCTCATCAATTCATAGTTGAACTGGCTAGATGTAGCCATAACTTCTATGCTAACAGTTTCTTTTCTCGCACTTCTTGCTTGTGAAACTCTCTTCTGACTTACTTTCCAGCAAATTTTGATCTTCAAAACTTTAAATGCAATGTCAATCATTATCTACTGTCTTCTTGATTACTCTTCTATTGTTCTTGCTCCTTAATAAGGTTTCTTTTTTTTCTTATTCTTTCACACCCAGTAACTCCTTCTGTCTTAGTGGCTTTATTTTCTTGCATGGAGTGAAATGGTTAAAAAAAATGTTAGCTCTTCCAAATGCAAAATATTTGTATTTATTGTTTTATATTCAGATATGGATGGGGAGAGGATTTAAGTGCAATGTTTGTGGAATGATTGTTCATAAAAAATGTACTGAAAAATGTCAAGAAAAAACCTTATGTACACGGTGAGTACAAGAAAAGAAATTTAAGATATTGCTTTTAATTTCATCCTGATATGAAAGTACTTAAAATCTTCTCCACCCTGTCAAATTCCTCAGTGTGCTTATACAGTTACAAGAGATGCAACTTTTTTGAGTCATAATAGAGATCTCTCAAGACAATTCTGTATAAAACAAAAATGGTAAAACAAAATTATATTCTGTTCTCAATAATCTTTAGTACAGTGTTGAAAAGACAACATTCTGCCTGGTAGCATTTAGGACATATCAATTAGTTTCTTAAACCTGGTGAGTCTGTGTACACTGACTATGCTGTTTTTGGCAATGTGACATGAATTAGCAAAGTTCAAGTAGAGGGATAAGAATAAGTACTAGATAGATGGAACATTTTATTCTATATCTAGTTGTATGGACATTAGCATCTCTTGATCTACAGTATCACCTGTGTACAGAGAATACATCCTTTAAGTTTATATGTGTTGTGGCCAGAAATAGACACAAAGAGAGGAATTTAGTTAAACAAATATATTAACAGAAACAGTAATACAAACAAGAGTTTTACAGCAAGAATATTTGGTCCAACTGTCAGAGCTGACTGCTGGAAACTTCCCTCTCTAAAAGGCAGTACCTGCTCCTATTTATAGCTGGGAGAGTCCATGCACACATGGGTAAATTATCATAACAATATGTGTAAAATGTCATGGGAAAGCAGTATATAAAGGTAATGATAGATGGCATCACTTTACCTAGATACAGTAGAAATGCCCAAACATGTTGTGTTTTGACATTTGATGAGTTGGTGTGAATACAAGCAATTCTGCTTACAGTAAAGCTAGGCAATTTACTGGAGTTTGAAAAGAGTATGATAGACAAATAAGACAATCCATTTCTTAAATTATGGGGCCATTTTACATACTTCAGTGTCACATGTGTATTGGTAATAACTGATGAAAGGTATTTCTTCTCATTGTGGACAGAGTGTAGTAACTGTTTAATGATTGTGATCTGAGTTGTTTGGATACAACTGCTTGTGGTAACAAGCAAATGATGCAGGTTCAAATCATGTCAACATTGATTGTTGGAGTTACCAGGAGAGCTCAGCATGCTTTAGCTTCCACATTTACTCAACATAAGCCAAATTGAGCATTTATGGAATGTGGTGAAGAGATTTACTTGCATGCAAGATCCTGCATTTACTATTATTGGGAAGCTTGAGACAACTATTGAGATGGCATGGCTTAACATATCTTCAGAGTTCTTCCATTTATTTGTGGTATCAATGTCATGTCAAGTTGCTTCATTTAGATTAGCACCTAGACAATGCTAGACATCAGTCCAGTTTTTTACGTATTAGTGTATAGCATGCTAAAATTATATTCTTATATTTTTATCTAAGTGTATTTCCTTTGAGAAGCAAAACATTGAGTTTCTATAAGTTGGCATTGGGCATCTGTGGCCCCTGTCACTCAGTGTTTGGCATCTGTGGTTTCTCCCACATGGAGTTTGACATCTGTGGTTTCTCCCAAATGGCATTTGGCATCTGTGGTTCCAGTCACTCAATGTTTGGCATTTGTGGTTCCTGCCATTTGGTGTTGTGCATTTGTGGGTTCCCGCCAATTGGTGTTTGGCATTTATGGTTCCCGCCATTTGGTGTTTGGCATCTGCGGTTTCCCGCCAATCGGTGTTTGGCATCTGCGGGTTCCCGCCGCTTGGTGTTTGGCATCTGCGGTTTCCGGCACTTCGGTGTTTGGCATCTGCAGTTTCCGGCACTTCGGTGTTTGCATCTCGGTTTCCCCGCACTTTCGGTGTTTGGCATCTCGGTTTCCTGCCGCTCGGTGTTTGGCATCTGCGGTTTCCCGCCACTCGGTGTTTGGCATCTGCGGTTTCCCTGCACTCGGTGTTTGGCATCTGCGGTTTCCCGGCACTCGGTGTTTGGCATCTACGGTTTCCCGCCACTCGGTGTTTGGCATCTGCGGTTTCCCGCCACTCGGTGTTTGGCATCTGCAGGTTCCCGCCACTCGGTGTTTGGCATTTATGATTCTCACCATTTATTTTCAGGCAGATAGTAAATTTTTGTGAAATTTTATTTAAAAAACAAAAAAACACTGATACATTTGTTACAGATGATGACTAGTCACTGTCAAAGGCAACAGGTGTAACAGGCTTTACTGGTAGTACTGTCTGGGTAGGTAAGGTAGTTAGGGAATTTGCTTAAGTACTCACCTAACTCTCTTCATCAACTGTTGTGACATGCAAGTGATGAGACAGGTTTTTGTCAAGTTATTTGGTGATGGGTGAGCACTAGTGGAAAAATGTATTCCTGCTTTTCCAAAGGTCATCAGTATGAAATGAACTTAAACCATTTCAGCTGAAATCCAAGCTTTATTTGTCATTGATAACTGATATGAGCACAGTGTAGTGGTTATTAGTGTTGAAAGTAGAATTGGCATACCAAGTTTAAATTGCAGCTGAATTTGTTGCATTTACTTTACACAAATACCATTGGATAAGGTATGAATTCATCTCTTTGCCCAACAGATCTGGATTGAATAGTAAGGTAGACTGGGCTCTCTAGTTTTGATTGGTAAATAGACTAGAAGGACAACTCTGAATTGAGAGTTGGACATGGGGCTAGCAACTGCACCCCCAATAAAAACCTCCTTGTTACTGAAAGCATAGTAGCAATGCCTAGTTTAGTGAAGCTGTGGACTTACATTACACTGGGGTGACTAAGGGTACTAAGAAGGAGAAGATAAAAGAAACTGATGTGCTACTTAAAACTAAAATAATAATTACTCTAAAGTAATAATTACTTATTTTGCTAAAAAATGCAATGATATTTATTTAACATAAATAATAATTACTCATTTTGCTAATGAATACAACATTTATTTAACATCATTAAAGTAATAATTATTCATTTTACTAATATACAATGATATTTATTTAACATCATTAAAGTAATAATTACTCATTTTGCTAATGAATACAATGATATTTATCTAACATCATTAAAGTAATAATTACTTTAAAGTTGTTAAAGATGTTTACAAAATAAACGCATATTTCATTCCTGATCATATAACTAAAAACTAAACATTTTCAAGCTTATATTTAAAATATCTTTAGTCTCATTCTCTTTGTCTTATACTATGATTTATTTTCTGTTTATACAGTGAAGGTCCAAGAAATCGAACCATTCCGGATGAACCATGGAAGCCTATGACTGCTCAACAACTTGAAAATCAGAAGAACAAGATACAAGATGACAAGGAACCTCCAACAAGATCTGGAGGTCTGTTGAGTAAATTTCGTAAAGATCCTGCCCCTGCTATAAAGAAGACACTTGGTAAGTAAAAGATATATTTTGTAAATTTACTAACTAGTATATTTCAAAATTACAATTCTTTCTAGTTATTTCAGTAAAAATAACTAACCTGTCTAGTAATATTTTTTTTTTTTTTTTTTCCCTAAAAAATATATACATAAATGTGAAATGTTTACTAGTAAGTTTTAAGATAATAATAATAATAATCTTCCAATTTGTGTAGGTTAAGTAAATGATACACTATTTACATTATTCGGACTATTGTCCTCATCTTTGTCGCCATGATTATTAAAATGTTTTGGCCATTGTACACTCTAGCCTTCTTCAGGTGGTTGGAATGTCAAACTGAACCGTTTATTTCCTTCACTGGAGTAGACTGTTCTAGTTCCACGTGCCATGTCTAATGGATGTCAGTTATCAGTTATCTCCTGTTAATTCCCCTCTGAAAGTTCTTCACTGCCTTAACCAGATATTGAACTCACACTCTTTGGGTCTTGTCACTGGATCTAACTAACACCTTTATCCACTGTGCCATGTATCCTTGAGGATTTCTGGGTATTATAAACCTAATGTCTTCAGCAACCATTTTTTACCAGTACTCATATTGCAATTTTTGCTGTTATTATCGCTTTTCTCTAGCACTCTTTATTACTGGTTCCCATATTGTATTCATTTCTATGCTTGGTCAGCTCAGGAGATTTTTGTGGCCTAGCATATGTGCTGATTCCTTAAGTTTACAAATTTTCCAATGGTGTTCTTTGTCTATGATCTCAACCTGATCCCACAGAGGGTGATGGTCAGCCATGCTTGATTTTTCCACTTCCCCTTGTGTTACAGTTTTCTGGTGTTCTTTAAGCCTTACCTTAAGGGGGCAGCCTGTCTTCCCTTTATATTTCTTTCCGCAGCTGCATGGGATAATGTATACACAGTCTTTAGTCATGTTCTCCTCTATGTGGGGTCTTACTCGGGAGAGATATCTGTGAAGTGTTGTCCATCTGCTGAATGAGATCATATGAATACAAAGGGATCTTTTACAAGACAACATGCTCAATACATTAGTTACTCACTGTAATGAGTCTGACCATAATTTTGATTTAAAAAATTCTACTTTTATTTAAGAAAGAGTAATTTACTAAGATGAAAGTGTATAGAAAGTGCTTTAATCACTAGATCAACAGTAAATTTGCATCAAGGTTCCTACAACATTTCACCTTTCTTAGCAGATCTTCTATTATCACAATACGGCATGATTAAATCACTTTCGTAATTTCTCTTTTGCTATAAATACAGTTCCTTTAAAAATTTGTTATAGGTCAAAATAGGACAGCTTTATATGCTATATATTTAAAAAGGAATTGACACTGAATAATGCCATCCCAGATATACAAGAAAATGACATCCATAATTCAATCCATGTTTTTTGTTCTTTTCTCAGGAAGAAACTCTGGAACCAGTCCACCTCCTGATCGAAAATCACTGGCGTCCACTCCAAATCACAGTCCAAAGACAAGAAGGAAGAAATCTCTTCCTGAGACACAATCATCAGGTGATACATTTGAGGATTCAAGCAAGCTCCATGCGACAACAGCTGGCCTGCCACGAACACGTTCATCTACATCACTCCAGGTGCTCCTCAACCAGAATGCATCTCCTACGTTGCAACCTCATGAAGTCATTGTTAAGGTATATTAGTAAACTAATTAACTATATATTAGTAGTACTGTGAAAATTTCAGTTTTATTATTTGGATTTTCTGATGAATCATAATTCTTAAGTTAATGATTGAATAAGCTCCTTGTTTGTTTTTTTTTGTTTTTTTTACCAATGTTCACTAAGTAGAAGGCCCAAGAGTCAATCATGGTAGAGGGTTACTGTGTAGCATTGTATTAGCATAAGAAAAGGGGAGAAGTAAAATTCCTGAGGTTATGCATGAAAGACAATGGCCAACTTGACTTGAAGAGGTCTAGATTTAATTAATGAATAACACTTCAGGGTTCAGTAATAATGTGGGAGTAAACTTTAAAAGGAACTGGAAAACCAGTCCTAAACAGGAAACAAGAGATAAACCTATGTTCCTGTTCAAAAGGCCAGATTTCTAGTTCTATGACTATAAAATATCTGTAGGTTTAATATGATTAAATATTTGAGCTTAATAACTTTAACAAAATATTGCAATAACAATCATAACTATAAATGCAGGTCATTATTTAAAGAAGTAAGAGGGTACAAATGAAGAGATTTAAAATTGTCAAGTTTTTCCATTTTACTAAAGCAGATGTTAAACACATGAAAGCATAATTGCTTCTTTCTTTATCACACTGAAACTGAACAGCGTCTCTGATATGTTTTTCTGTCTTTCTTTGAGATCAAAATGGAATAGTTCATTATTTATGAGGCATTGGCAGATTATAACACATGTGCTAATTAAAGAATGAAGAAACAAACAGAATTATAATATGATAATTGGTAACCATTAAGAATACTAAGTGAATATAAGTACAGTAAACTAATTAAATATTATGTCAAAGTTAAACTAAAACCATATAAAATAATTAGCTATCTTTAATCTTTGTACTTGCAAAAAATAGTTTCAAAAGGACATTTTTCCCTTGACACCACTATTATTAATCTAATAAATAAATGGTGTTTATTTTTTTATTTATTATTCTTTTTATTTGTTGTAACGTATCTAGGATAAAAAAAAATGTATAAATTCACTTTCATATGTTTAGGCTTTTGTCGTATAGGAATAAAGTGTCACTGCTGACACTTGAGTTTGAACACAGATCAACAGTGAGCAAGCACATTTGACCTCATTTTGAAATAATTAGATCATGTGATGGATAAAGGAAAAATATATACATGGGAATTAGCGGCACCTGACTGAGTATTGTTTGAAAGCATTACTATTGTTGTATCTGGGATTTATAAAGTCTGTCCTACAAACAGGAATTACAAAATTTTTATTACAATTCAAATGATCACTTTTTAAAATGACAAATATTGCTGAGGAGTGATGGTAGTTAAAATAACAGTGGTGTCAAGGGAAAAAACTGTTCTTTTGACATACTGCAGCACACAAAATTAATATATTTAACTGATATATTTAATTAAAATGGATTATAATGTCTCAAAGTATAGGTACACAAAGATGTACAATAGTTGGTCAAAAAGTTTGTAACCTGGCAGTTATTAGCAGAATTGAAATTTTCATTGTATAATGCTTATCTAATATCTGGAGAAGCGTTGGGTTAGATAAGAAGTAATAAAAATGTTGGATTAAAAGTAAACCCATTCTTGCTTATAGGCTTCCCAGTCAATTTTGATCTTCAAAAATTTAAATGCAATGTCAGATGTTATCTTTTCTTAACTCCTGTTCTTTTATTGTTCTGTCTCCTTAATAATGTTTTCTTTTTCTTATATTCTCTCATGCTCAGTAACCAGTTGCATCTTAGTGGCTTCATTGTCTTGCTTGGGATGAAATGATTAAAAAAATTCTTTAGAAATTGGGTTAGATACTTTAATAGGGAAAGAAATTGTTAAAAAAAACCGAATATTTATTCAGAATAGATGCTGTTTTTAATTATTTGGTTATGAACTTATTGACAACAATGCTATGTAGACATATAATATTTCGGTTCACCTATATATGGAAATACTCATTTTGATTAACTTTATATTAGGTGAAATAGTACCATTTCCTTATATAGAAACATTTGGCATTCATTGACCAAGCAGTCAGTGCTACTGATGTTAATTTTTTTCACTTCCTGGTCATCAGCTCGAGATCAAGGTGTAGTAACTGTTCTCATCTCCAATGACGATATTAGCCATTTCCTTATAAGGGAACATTTGGCATTTATTAACTGAGCAGACAGCGGTACTCAAGTTACACTTTTCTTCAATCCCTGGTCATCAGACTGGGATCAAAGTTTAGTATCTGTTCTCCTCAAATCTCATGGTAATGGTCATATTAGCCATTTCCTTATATGGAAGAATTTGACCTTCATCGATTGAGCAGACAATGCTATTTTTGGTTGAAATTTATAAAATCTTTCTATTAAAAAAACTTTTTTGGAAAGATAGATTTCTCAAGTCCAATAACTGCTATTGCTCTTTCCCAGTATTTATTGGAGTTTCCTTCCTAATCTTTTGCTTGAAGTGCTGTGGAATGTCAACATTTTGATTATGTCATTATTTTCTCTTTGAGTTACATGTGCTATCCATTTTAGTTGTTGCTGCTGTTGAAAGTCCTCAACTAACATGCTTTCTGTTCTTGTAAGAACTGTATTAGAACTAGAGTAGTAGACTGGAGATATTTCTTTTTTAAAAGTAATGATATAAATAATTATTTGGAATAATTTTCATTTTATGATGTCTGTTTGATATTTTTGTCCTACATTGTATTATAAAATTATTAAAAAATTCTAAAAACTAAATTAAGATTATTTTGTGTGTGTGTGTATATATATATATATATATATATATATTAAGACATTTTTATGTTTATACATTCTATAAAAATAGATAAAAATGTCTTAAAATAATTAAATGACTTTGACCTATTTCATAATGTATGACGTCATTTGTTTACATTTGATATGCAGATATGAATGTATGTGAGGGATTCATGAAAGATTAAAGTTTAAAATAGTAAAATCAACCCTGCTAACCAAACGCTCCTCTGTGGTCGAAACTGTTTAGGCACGTCAAGCTAAATGACAGTTCCATATAGGATACAGGTTCAATTCCTGTCGGAATACAAAAATTTTCTACGAAAATTTCTCGGACATTCCGGTCGGTAAATGTTGTTTAATACGGTTTGTTATAAAACAGAGAATTAACTTAAATATTTTTATCTATAAAAAGAATGTATAAACATAAAAATGTATTAAAATAATTGTCGGACTTTGTCCATTTCATAATATATATATATATATATATATATATATATATATATATATATATACAAATGTAAAAAATGAAGATTAAAATTTCAACATTCAAGGTTTGAAGGTCAAACATTCATTTAAAACAGGGCTCAATACAAGAGTAGAGCAATAAATATTTATTATAAACTGTTACACTGGAACATGCAAGTAATTACTGCAAAATTATACATTTTGTTTCAACGTTTAATAAAATGTCTCATCAGGTAGATAACACTGATGATAATAAACGATCTTATTTAAAATTGCAATTTATGAAACATTTTGTAGTTGTTACTTACATCTTCTATTGTAACAGTGACGAAGAGGTGAAATACATTGAAAATACTTTTAAGCTTCTCCAATACCCTAATTATTTCATATTTAACAGAATAGCACTATCCTTAATCCTTTCTAAACATATATAGGATATAAAAACAAATACACCAAAAATATCATGAAAAATAAGGAAAAACAATATCGGTCTAGAACAATAAATCCAAAAACTAAACTTTGTCTGGAGGAGAAACTAGCCATAATCACCTTCCCAAAATAATACAAATTGCTAAGTAAACAATCAGAACTTTTCACTTAAAACTAAAGAAAACTAAATGAATAGCTTGTAAAATATCATGAAAAATAAGGGAAAACACTATCGGTCTAGAACAATAAATCCAAAAACTAAACTTTGTCTGGAGGAGAAACTAGCCATAATCACCTTCCCAAAATAATACAAATTGCTAAGTAAACAATCAGAACTTATCACTTAAAACTAAAGAAAACTAAATGAATAGCTTGTAAAATATCATGAAAAATAAGGAAAAAGAATATCGGTCTAGAACAATAAATCCAAAAACTAAACTTTGTCTGGAGGAGAAACTAGCCATAATCACCTTCCCAAAATAATACAAATTGCTAAGTAAACAATCAGAACTTTTCACTTAAAACTAAAGAAAACTAAAAAATGAATAGCTTGTAAAATATCATGAAAAATGCAAATATATACATAATAGTTGGATGCATCATCAAAAATGAAAGGGTGGTCATATCTTAAGTGTAGGAAACAAAATAGTTCTCTTCAGTTTTTTGTTCTATTTTTTTGTTTACTCCTTACCAAGTCTAAAGAAAAGAGACTATAATACACTGCTAAATTTAAATTGGCATACATGTGGGTGAAGAACTTGGGGGGGGGGAAAAATAAGTAGTGATATAATGATGAAGACATTTAAGATATGTGATATCAGTAACACAATGCATAGGACTGAGGATAATATTCACTTTGATCCTAATAATGGATCCAATGAAGAAATGCTTCATTCCTTTCCATCCTCATCCTCATTACTTTCACTTTCTCTTTTATCCTAATATTGGATCCAATGATGAAATATCTCCTTCCTTTCCAAGTAATTGCCATCCTCTTTGCTTTCACTTTCTCTTTTATCCTAATACTGGATCCGATGATGAAATTCCTCATACCTTTCCAAGTAATAGTGAAAACAACGGTGATTTTGTAGGTTTTGAACCAAAGTGTCAAGTTTTTTATTATTATTTGCAGTATTTTCTTGTTTTGATCTTTTGAACACATTTCTCTTTAGAACAATATATACTAATATTTAAAATATCAGATTCAATATTATTTCAATAATAATATTTTAAATATGACTGTAACTTTATTTTTTTCCAAAACTTTGTCTTCAATGCATCTCATACACCATAAATACAATATATATTTATAAAATTTATTGAAAAATCATTTGTTTAGTTTAATTTCTCAATGAAATCTTTTAATACTAAAACAAAATTTCTGTATCCTACTTAACCAATTTCTGTTTTGTCTCATTTTCTCATTCAGCCTGAGGATAGAAATATCGACCATTCTGATGATTCTGATAGTAGCACACAAGGACCAACTTGTAAAGCAAAAGTCAGAATGAATGTATCAAATTTTGATGAGGAAATTGTTACAAATGCTAAAGAGAAAGGAAAAGAGCTTTTATCTCATTTAAGCTTGGAAGAGAGACGGGAGAAATTGGATACCATGGTAAGTCTTAAATTGCATAACTTTGTATTAATATTTTTGTGTCATTAACTTTTGTTCTTCACATGTTGAATCAATTGATAGTCAGTCCTTATTTACTTTTATGTTAATATTTCATTATAAGATTATTATACACACTATTTAGAATGTGTTCAAGGGAAGCAACTATTGCTTTAAAAAAAATGACACGTTTTGATATGTTTTTTAATTGTTGATTTTGAAATATTGTTTTTCATTTTTAGGATTATACTGAAAATATTTTACATTAATTTTAGTATTTTTCCAGCAAATTTTCTCCTGATATATATATATATATATATATATATAATATTAGTGGAAAATATACATACATATGCAAAATATATAAATACCCATACATGTATATTTTTAGAATAAAAATTCCAAGAGGAAGAATCCAGGTAGAACTCAATGTCTAGGACAGAGTAAGGATATAATAAAAAGGCTTAAACACTAATATTCCATGGTCATAATTTATTCCATTTTGAATTTGTAGGTCTGATGAATTGGATCGTATTTACGATTCCAATGGAATAAATCATGACCATGGAATATTAGTGTTTAAGCCTTTTTATTATTATTATATATATATATATATATATATATACACACACACACACACACTAATAATACATCATATGGAACTAGTTTTAATTATCAATATATAGCTAGAAATATAGATAAATATTTTATTTATTTTCTTGATTGTAGCTCTGTGTTGGTACATTTTAACAAATTTAGAAAACTTAGACATTTAGTTTACATTGGATTGTCTCTACGAAAAATATAATAAAGGAATTTTGGTAATCTTAGACCTTCATGCCTACGAAAATCAGTGTGTCAAAAAGATAGTTTTTTCCTTGACACTGTTATTTTAAATATCTTCACTCTTTGGGCATGTTTATTGTTTTAATGTGATGATTAAAATTTTAATAAAACCTCAACATATGAAAGTAAATTTATAGATCTTCTTTGTTCTTGAAAAAACAAAATGTTAAACAATATTTGCAAAACATTGACTAATTGCCAGTCGATTTGAACTTTATATAATGGTAAATAATGATTTCATTATAGTTGGTTCACATATTTTTATAATTTAGTAAATGTTTATAAATTTAAAAATAAAGTTTTTTATATTTCTTTGTAAAAGGGTAAATGATAAATATTGCATTAGTTTTTTTAATAGAATTGTATTAGTATGCTGTAAATATAAAATTATTCTTGAAAATAAAAAATCTAATATTGTTTAATATTTTTGTTGGAAATTTTCAAGAATAAAAAATGTATAAATTCACTTTCATCACATATTTAAGTTTTATTACAATTCTAATCATTCCTTTTTAAAACAACATTGCTTAGGAGTGACAGTAATTAAAATAATACTAGTATCATAGGGGAAAAAAACATCCTTTTTAACACACTGTGTGGCACAAAGAACAAATTTGCTGGAATTTTTATGTAGTAAACAGTCAAAATATATTGTCTACAACTTGAACAAACATCCCTAAACATAAGACCTATTATCTAGAAAAAAAAATGTTTAAAATTTTGATGCAGGTGAGAATAAATATAAATATTTTACATTTTCAATTTTTTTTTCTAGAATGAAACATCACTTGATTTCATTACTTCATTAGATCTTTGCAATTGGTAATTAGCTTCATTCTTAGAATTGGTCTGAATGAAATGATTGTTCTTTTCAGAAATTAAGTCCTAATAATTCTTTACTGCCAATGGAAAGGTATGATGGGAACTCAAGGTAAATATTACTGTTTGCTCCTTTTGAGAGCTGCTTGCTATATTGTATGCTAAAGGATAGAAATATAGAGAAGAATGCTTAGCTTTTTTGAAAGAAAATATCTGAGAAAAGCTAGCTTTTATTTAATTCCAAAAAGGGAAATCATCAAAGCTTTTTTTTTTTTTTTTATAATGTTACTATGTTGATTTTCTTAATTTTACAGACACAGCAGAATTTTATACGGTTAAATTAGTAATATGAGACAACAATTTTACAGGGTCCTGCATTTTTCTTTTTTTTTTTTTTTTAATTTTAAGGTGAAATAATTTTGTCTGCCTGATTAGAAATTATGGAACTTTCTTTTTTTACACACACATGATATATATATAAAGTATGATAAAAAAACATACGTATACACATATATACTTGCACATTTATAAATATTTTTCTTGGGTGCTATAAAACCAACACTTAATGTTATATGACATAGCTATTAAGTATATATTAGTGAATATATATAATATCCCACGTTGATAGCACGAGTTTCATGCAAACATGCAATGAAATTTACGTTCTTGTGGTGTTAGTTTAAAATTTTTAAACCAACACCATGAGAAAGCAAATTCATAATGTTTAATGGTCAGTGAGTATTTTGCACCTGAGGATTGCATATTTGCATGAAACTTTGAGTCGTGTTATTGACATAGGATATTATGTATATTCATTTTATATATATATATATATATATATATATATATATATATATATATATTTCCAAAAGGATAAAATCCAGGTAGAGCTCTGTTAGTGCTAGAATATAAAAGGCTTAAAGAATATAAATAAATTATAACCATGAAATATTAATGTTTGAGCCCTTTATATTATATATAAATATACTTGGATTCTATCCTCTTGGGAATTTATTTATTTATATATATATATATATATATATATATATATATTGACCATTAATATTATATATATATATATATATATATATATATATATTTTTTATTTCTGTAGAAGATAGAGATTCTAGAATATTAGTTTTCCTTGTGGATTCATCAAACTAAATGTACTTATAATATAAAATTTGAGATGGAAAATTGGCAAGATAAATAAGAAAATTTTAATGGTTTTTTTTATCTTTTTTTTTTTTTTTTAAAAATCTTTATTTTTGAGAGATAAGAAAAAAGATAATCAGATTTTGTTGAAATTTTAAGATGAAGCATTGTTACGATTATCCAGTGATTTGTTTGAATTTTTCCTTCATGATGTTTTGTCCGATATATCATCTGCCCTTTGGGTGTCTAACTCTAACTTTAATGTTGCCGCTGTAGGGAGGTGAATAAATGTCAGCATCAAAATCACAAGTCATCATGACCGAGGTTTTGAGTTTACAGGCATTTTTCAAAATGCTGACCATGCCAGATTATGTTCTCTCGCCCAGAAACTGTAACTACAGTTCACTCAGTGTACTTGCAATATAAACCACAAGCAGGTTCTGTGAGTGTTGAACTAACATAAATGTGCCTGATCAGGCTTCTGCAGCAGGGATTGGTTAGCAGCCTTTGTGGGCTGGTGAGCTTAGAAAACTATTTTAGCTATTTTAAATATTAGCATATGTGCATATTTATAAAGAATTAATTTATTTTTAATCTGATATTTTTATCCTCCATAATAACTTTTGAAGTAATATAAATGGCTGTAACCAAATGTCAGTTTTGTATTATAAAGGGAATGATGGGCATCTTTAAATTTTATTTCTTTTTAATGTTTATGGTTAAATAAAGATGAAAGTACTGGTTCTTGTTTAATCACCAAAGTTAAGCAGCATTGAGCTTGGTATAGGTGTTTGTTTGGAGACATTGGGTACTGTATATCTGGGGTTGGCAACCTTTTGATAACTATGTGCCGACTTAAGTTTTTAAAATCATTCAGTGTGCCAACAGCATATGCATTTTTATACAAGTCAAGGTCAATATACCTGTTCTACAATATATTTTATATAGTAATATATAGTATATGAAGAAGGAAATTACTGGAATGTAATTGAAACTCACCTGAAGCGAGCTGAATCTATAATGCTCCTCATGCCAATGACACTTCCACCGAGCTTCTCTACGGCATATGATTTCACTGAATTTTGATGTGTTCCTCTCGAATTTTAAACTGGGGTCATCAGGAGAGAATGTGCACCGTTTCGGGGCCTTCCTCTCAACGGTTTCAGTTGCACACCGGCCCCCCTCACTGATGTGAGGCCCCATTATAACGATATACAAGTGTTGTAGATAAACTAGTTCAAATGTGTAACTTTAGTATATATTAAAATTGAAACAGCTAATTATCTTTACATTGTAGTAGTTATTGTTTTAGACTTAGTGATGTCATTTTCAGCTTTGTGCCAATGGAAATTGCTTTGTGGCATGCATGCCAAAAGTTGCCGACCCCTGCAGTAGAGTATAGAGAAGAATAATCCATATAGGATATATATGGTATATGTTATGGTAATGTTGGCATTTTCCTTCTGAGGAAACATTTGGTGTTCATTGACTGAGCAGCAAATGCTACTTTCGGTTGAAATATAATCAATATTCAATATAATCTTTCCTGTTTATGTCAGTGGGAAACATTAACCCAAAAAGGTGTAGTGAGTCACTCACCAGGAGGTTAGCATCAGCCATGTTGATGGAAGGAGCTCTCTTAGACTAGGGGACAGCAACCTTTGCTAACTATGTGCCGACTGGGTTTTAAAATCATTCTGTGTGCCAACAGCATACATATTTTTATACAAGCCAAGGTCAATATACCCGTTCTACAATATATTCTATATAGTAATATATAGTATATATACTTTAATATATATTAAAATTGAAATATCCTCTTTGTGTTGTAATAGTTATTGGTTTGGACTTTGTGATGTCATTTGCAGCTGCATGCCATTGGAAATTGCTTGGCGTGGCATGTGTGCCATAAGTTGCCGACCCCTGGTCTAAGTCACAGTAAGCCTCCACAATTTAACAGAACCTTCCTTGGTATTATTATATTTTTTCAGGAACAGCTTCTGGTTTGTGCTTATTGTATTTATTTGCATGTTTAATATCAAGTTGTTCCTTCGTCTAACACAGGAGTTGGCAACTTTTTGCCTACTATGTACCGATTTGGGGTTTTAAAATCATTCAGTGTGCCAACAGCATATGTATTTTTATACAAGTCAAGGTCAATATACCTGTTCTACAATATATTT